GCACTTGCGAGCTAAGCCACCAAATTGCATGCAAATGGCTTGTTGGATAACCTCGCCAAGCCTTTCCGTCGGTCGTGAGTGCCGTAGCAGTCCGCGCTAGAGTGATCCGCTCGCCACCCCAGGCTATGGGCTACATGCGGCAGGCCGCGTCGCGAGGGGTGGTTGCGCGCTCTTCTCCGTCGCCAGTTTAAATCATAGGGTCCAGGGGCTCAACAATCTGGTCTAATACTCGACCAGCTTGTCTCATGACCCAGATGACTGCGGGAACAGAGGTGCCCATGCCATTGGTGAGTTTCTGACAGGCTCCTCGGAGCTGCCGCCAGCTGCTATGAATGCATCCCGCTCGTGCCAGGAGCGAGAAGCCACCCAGCAGGCGCCCCCAGGAGGGTTTCCCCTGTGGCGCGGGTGACCTGGATAGCGACGTCGTGAGAAGAGCTGCGAGGTCGCCGGGGCCGCCCCGGAAGCTGAACCGAAGCAGCCGGGCACTCGTCGTACCCCCACGTGTTCCAACGCCTTCTCGCCAGCCGACCGCGACCGCCACGGCCAGCAAGCCACGGCGACGACGGGTCTCGGCCCCAGGTTTGGCTCGCCGCCGCACTCTTGCGGTGATCCAGAGGCTGCCCAGAGGCTTCCCAGAGGCTGCCCAGAGTACTGCATGGATCCAGCGGGGGCGTCAGGATATGTGTCCAAGGAGCGAAAGCATTGTCAGTGCTGGTGTATCCAATGAAGATGAGGAGGAGGACGACGACATCGGCGACGACGAAACCATGGAGACGGAGGGGGAGGCGGAAGGGCGGAAGGAGCATTCGGTGTAGATCTAACGAGCGGAAGAGTTATCGTTGGACCGTTTTGGTGGGTGCTTTTCCTTGGAGGACACGGCAAAGTTTCCCAGGGACCCATGTCACATGGCCCCCGCGTCCCTGGTTTTGCGGCCACCCAGGGAGCGAAAGGACGTATCTACATTCAGAGCCACGCACACTTTGCAGATGCTGGGCATATTGTGATGCAGTTTACAGTTTTCTCTGCACCTAGCTTGAGTAGCGCGCATGTATTGTTGTGTGCTTCGGACGCTCTTGGTCTCTCTGTGTACTGGTGGTAAGGAGGTTGCGGAGGAGGAGGGCTCAGGGTTGCCCAGATCGGTCCACAAAGGTCGAACATGTTGTTGCTTTGCAGCTGCGTTCGGGTAGCAGTCACGTCCCTGGCTTGGCGGCGCCTTCGATCCTTAGATACTTGGCCATGGTGGTGTCAAACAACACGGGATCTCGGGAATGAATTGCGATACCATGAACATGCCACGTCTGCTTTTGAACCTGAGCTTCTTGGACTGCAACAGCTGATGACGCTTCACCGGGCAGTCTGCGAAATGATTTAGCAACCAAAGAAAGGGCGCCTCCTGGACGAACAGAGAGCAGCAAGAGGAGCACGAGCAGGGGCATGAGCAGGAGCGACAGCATCAGGAGCAGCGGCCGAAAGACCGACAGGACCACGAGTAATTGGCACGCGAGCGCGGCCGGTCCTCGTCGCGTCAAGTTCACGTGTTGACTCACGGAGCTCAGACGAGTGGTGGTTGTCATCAGTTGTGAAGCTTTCCTTCTGCCTGTCGCGGGGGACAACGTTCAGGAGGGGAAAAACACACGCAGACACGATGAATCGCAATTCCTAGGAAAACATGCGAAAATGTGGGAAGTGGGGGGGGAGACGAGAATCCAAAAAGTATGGAAACATGTGGGGAATCCTGTTATCTGTGTGCATTTACTCGTGCGTCCCAGGGCCCCTTCAAACGTGACGATCAGCAAGCTTACGGAAGGCCCGCGCGGTCGAGCCCTCGTCCATCCGCGCTGCGCACGGGCAGCCCCATGTCTTGGGGCGTCTAGGGGCTGCCTTGGGAAGCAACTCGCCCTGCCCCCTGCCCCCCCCCGCCGCCTCCTCCGGCCCCCTTCTGCTCCTCCTCTTCCTCCTCCTCCTCCTCCTCCTCCTCCTCCTCCTCCTCCTCCTCCTCCTCCTCCCCCTCCGCCTCCCCCTCCTCCCCCTCCTGGGTCTCCTCTTTCTCGTCACCACCGCGCCAGTCGCGTGTGGCCTGATGTGGGCTGCTCATTCCCAGGCCGGTTTGTTCTGCGACGGCGACAGCTTCCGGCGCAAAAGAGCTCGCAGGGGCATCCCCCCTGTGCTCGATTCCCCTTTTGGGATGTTCGCTTCCAGGCGTTTCTAAGCCAGCGCAGTAGCGTTGGCAGTCAAGGCTGCCGCTGACCTCTTGATGTTGTCTGTGCCCGGTCTGTGCCCTCCACGCCCCTGGCGGGTGTCGGCTTCTCTCCCAGTCCCCCCCAGGATCGGGGAAACGTATTACGTAAGGCCCGAGTTTGCCAGGATTCGGGGTTGCCCCAGCTTCTCGGCGGCCCTGGCGTGAGTTCTCACGATCCAGTTTTTGTCGGATGTTTGCAGCGAGAATACGCGTCGAATTTCAGAACACATCACGTACTGCTCCTGACGGCCCCGCCAGGCCTATTCGAGTTTCAAGCTCGAGTCTTACGTCTTGCCCCCAAGAGTCTTGCCTGCCTAGGCTCCCCTTGCCTGCTTGCTGCTGCCCCTGTCGGTCCTCCCCTTCTACAATACACTGTGAATGGTATTCTCCTCTCTCCCCCGAACATGTCCTGAGAGTGTCCGCCCCCCCTTCGCGTATTGCTTTCTACACATGATGTGGACGAGTTGGTCTTGCTTTGTTACGTGTTTTTCCAGTCGGAACGTTCTCGGTCCTTCCAAAATCATGCTCCCGCTGCAGCGTGGGCCGTATTTTAGGATCGCGGCTCTGCTCCAGTAGTTCAGAGTTGCGCTCTCGCCCCAGCGCGGGCCCTTCTTCTCGATCCGAGTCATTCCTCATCGTTGTCGCCCCCCTCCTTTCCCCTCCTCCGCCTTTCCCTGCTCCTCCTGCTCCTCCCGCTCCTTCGACTCCAGTTCCTGCTTCTGCTGTTCGTCCTCCTCCTTCTCCTATCACATTGGCCTCTTCTTCCTCCTGCTCATCCTCCCGCTCACCCGCCAATTCCTCCTCTGTGCGCAGCCCCCGCCTCTGCGATTGCGCATGAACGTGATCGTGTTTTTGGTTGGAGCTCCAGGTCGGCTGCGACACAGGCGCGAGCGCAGCCAGCCGGTCCACGCCCTCTCTCTTCCCTGCATTTGTTCTGGTGCAAAATCATCTCGCACACGATAACCCCGCCGAGAACAAGTGCACACGCTCGGACGTGTGCACTTGTTCTCGGCGGGGATTATCAAGGAGCATCCTGGTTCATCCTGCGAAAAAAAAAAAACACGCACGAAACCGAGAAAAACACGGGGAATGGACGTCCGAGCGATGCCAGTCCTCCCCGTCTTCCCCCCGCCACTCCCGTGTGAGCTCCGGAGGCGATCCGCGATGCCGCGTTTTCTTTGTCGCCGTTTGCACTGCAGCCGATGCACCGTCATGCCACGGCTTGCGGTAGGTTCGTGTCGTTTCGACGCGTCGGCGACCCCGCCGCGAGCGTGCAAGGTTGAGCGTCGCCAGTGGTTCAGACTCGGCGAATATTGAACGATTTTTGGGTCGAGAAGTTGCCGATTGTGGAAAGTTCAACGATTCGCGTGGTTTCGGAAATCAATGCCCGTGTCTCACCGAGCGCGTCCCAGTACTCGCAAAGTGCCTACTCGCAAACGTCCAAAAAGCACAACTGCTGTTCGATGCAGTGGAGCTTGTCTGTCCATGGATCCAGGCCTTTTGCGAGTTGGCTACCTTGCGAGTCGTGGAGCGCGCTCGTCTAGTATAGTGTCGTCACGACCCAGACCCATCGCACCCGGCTCGATCCCCAGGACAGGAATAGGGGGCCACATGCGAACCCTACCCCTACCCCCCACGATTTCTGAGAGGGGGGATGGGGTTTACCTCGCTCGGGAGCTCCCGAGCGAAGTGAACCTCACCCTCCCCCTCAGAAATCGTGGGGGGTAGGGGTAGGGTTCGCATGTGGCCCCCTAAGGAAGGGGGGTGCCCTGTCCGTCCCGCCCAGCTGCCACCGCTGGCCGGCGCACGGCGGCGCTCCAGCGGCGGCGCGGCGCCGCCCTCGAGGCCCCCGGGCCTCGTCGCTCGCCGCGCCCGTTCTTGCCCCCCCCGGTGTGGCTGCCTGCTGCTGCTGCTGCTGGCGCTGATCCTCCATCGGTCTCCCCCTTGCAGGAGGGAAAAAAACACACAGACACAATTAATCGTCGACTCCCCAGAAAAAAAATGAAAATATGGGAAGTGGGGGAGAAGACAAAAACTGAGAAAATATAATATATGGGGAATGCTTCTATTTGTTTGTGTTTATTTGTGTGTTCTGGGGCCCCTCCACCCTTGCTTGCTTACTTTGTCGCCCTCCCCTTCGCGCCTCAAGAACCCGATGGCGGGGAAGCTCGACGCTGGGCAGCTCTACCGACTTGGAGCCGATGCTTCCACTGCGGATCCAGCCCTGCGGTTGGCAAATCTCCAATGCCGAGGCGCGCAACGCCGCCAGGAGGCGAACGACCGATGCGGGGCCCCCAATGGAGTCGACTCCTTTTCCCCCTCCTCCTGCTCCTCCTCCTCCTCGTCTTTTTCATCATCGTGTTCCTCGTTCCCCTCCCTCTTAGCTTCGCTCTCCCGCTCTTCCTCACTCGTCTCTTCCTCCATCTTCCTCGCGTTTTATCTGGTTCAGTTGGACGTCTGTTGGGGTCAGACTCCGCGGAAGAGAAAGACTGCACATACACACAACGGGGGACCCCGCACGGGGGCCCTGGGGCTTGGTCGCAAATAGGGGGCCCGGGGGCTCGGCGTGCTCCTATGGGGGCCCCGGGTCCGCCCCCAGAGTGCTCAGGCCGGCCTCAAGGCGGCCCAGGAGGGCCCCGAGTCGCGCCCGAGACGGTGTCAGGCGGCGCAAGCGAGCCTCCAGACTCTTCCAGAGCGGCCCAAGGCAGCCCCAAACGGCCTCAGGAGGCCCTCTTGGACGCCTCCGGGAAGCCAAATCCGTCAAAAACAGCTGGGATAGCTATCCGTAGCCAGTCTGTCTCAAGCCACTTTGGTGAAAAGGAGTTTTGATACAAGGAGGAGGGCTTTATAGTGACCCAGTCAGCTCAACTTTTGGCACCAAGTTTATCCTCTGCCATGCAAAAGCTTCACTCTTCGCTGTGGGTCAGCACAACAAAGTCTGGAGCATTCAATGGAGTGTTGACATGGGTGACACCTTCTTCCTTGTTCTGTGTCGGTGCAGCATCGCAGAGCTTGAGCTCGGCCTTGAGCTCGCCAGTTGTGAGGTCGTATTGCAAGGAGATGTGCTTGCTGAAGCCGGGAAGCTGGGTCTACATCGACGACTTGGCATCTGAAGGATATAACCACAGGTATGCGCAGGTGCTTGGTCCACAGGGCAGCAGAGGTTCAAAGGCGAAGCGTTACGGCTGCTCACTTTATGGACTGCAGGGCAAGGAGGTTTACGACCGCGCCGTGCATCATCAGATGTTTCGGACAGTTTCGCTATCAGTTCGGAACCTATTCAAAGTTGAGGCGACCGTGGCAGCTGTCCGTATCTATGCAGACGAGCCGCATCCGGCAGATGCGGTGCAATTTTCAGCGGGAGGTGATTGGAGTCTTCCTTCGTATGTTTCCGAGGTTCGGATACCCGCTGGTCTGCTTGGGTGTGTCCGATCAGATCAACTGTGTCCCATTATGAAGGACACTGGCATGCCACTGATACTGCAAGACGTTGAGATGATCTATGCAGGAGAGGGAACTTGCAGTCTTGCATCTGACTTGAAAATGCCGGCAATATACCTCATCTGGGATGGGGGTGAGTTCGATCAGTATTGGAGGGATCATGCTGGCCCACATCTCGTGTTCCGGGCGGATGGTGTGAATTTCTTCATAGAGGACATGGCGTTTGTATCAGAATTCATGCGTTTTCTCACACACAAAGCAGATATTCTCATGTATAGGGGTGGTTTTTCCGAGCTCGTCGTACCCTCTCTGTTCAATGAGTTCGAAAAGGAGTACCACATTCAAGCTAGTCCCGCAGTACATGAGAATCAACGCTTCGAGACCCCACTCAGCGTCGACGAAGAAGTTGCAGCAAGTTTGGCTGATGTCGAGTGGACGGAGCATGTTGAGAAGCGTATTCATACAGATTTGGCAGCTCAGCCTGGGTCAGAACCATATCAGTCCGTTCCTTCGATTGTCCAACCTGCAGTCGATAGTGCGCCATCAGCAGAGAAAATCCACATTCTGCGCTTCGGGTCCCTATCAAATCCAGGCGATGCCGTGAACACCTTCCGCCAAGAATTGTTGCATGGTAGCCATTTGCGGCCGTGCCGGGATGCCCTAACAGAAAACGGCCTCAGCTTTGTCCTTCCACAAGAGGCCCTTATGGTGGTCACGCCGGAGCAGTACGCCGAGGTCAAGCATGCTCTTAAGGACACCGAGCTCCATCCCTTTCACCTCATCGTGGCTGAACAGTTCGAGTACCTCATTGAAGAAATCCTGGCAGACTTCCCTTGCAAGCGTCGTCCCCGCGTCAAAGGCAGCAATGCTGGCCGACAGGAGCTGTGCAGTCTTCCAAAGAGTCCGCGGATGGAACCCGATGAAGAGGACACTGCAGAAGCAGGCTCGAGTTGCAAAGAGCAAGCAGAAGCATCCGGACAATCCGAAACGGGTGTGTGCCGTCAAGCGTTCATTGAGATGCGCACATTTTTGTGCGAAGCCCCAGTCTTGAAGAGTGATGCGAGTGTGTCCTGCCAGTCCACCACTGAGGTCCATGTCGATGGGCAGTTCTCTCACAGCCATTATGGCTACCGCCGAGGCTTGAATCCCCGCCGGTTCGCATGAACCCCCGCAGCGGACATGCAGGCTCAATCCTATTTTCGTGATTCCATGCTGTCATATAAAGGGCTCCTGGTAGGCGTGATGCCCGCCACGTGTTCCAGATGCAAAGCATGTGAAACTTTTCCAGTGCATGTCGCTCTCTGCGCAGTATTTTGTGGCACCGTTCACTACCTTAAGCAGAGATATCAATCACCAGCAGCATTTAGACCATCATCATACTCTTCATCATAGCCTCCGTCGTCATGACCATCAACCGCAACAGCACCACAGGTCTTCTTGCCTTGGGCGTAGATCGCCAGCATATCCACACCCAAGTTTGTTGTAATGCCATGTTCTTATCGAGGCCTCCTGGTAGGCGTGATGCCCGCCATGAGCTCCATATGCAAAGCATGGGGAATTCTTCACAGTGCATTCTGCTCTCTGCGCAGGCTTTCGCGACATTGCTCATTGTCACTCGGAGAAGAAATGGGGAAGCTATGATCCTCGTCTGTTCGCATCCGATGGGCTGCTGAGGCCTCAAGGTCGCCCCCAAGAGGCCTCAAGACCCCCAAACAACGCCCAAGAGGCCCCACGACGCCACACGACTCCCCCAAGAGACCCCCTAGAGGTCTCAAGAGGCCTCCAACAGTTGCCCCCAAAAACGCGTTCGAGGGTTACCAGACGGCTCAGGAGGCGTTTGAAATGGACAAAAAGGTTTCCACGACGCTTCAAGAGCGCTCCAAGAGGACCTCCAATAGGGCCCCGAGAGGCACAACTCTCCTTTCGCAGAACATAGATTCTTGGCATGCTCGCTTGTTCAGTCTGAACACAAGACGGTCCGATATGCCCTGCCCAAACGGCCCCAAGGTAGCCTCACGAGGGGCCCAAGAGAGGGACTCCGAGCTGATATTTCAAACCTTCCGCCCCAAGAGGAACCCCGAGCCCGCCAACTGCCCCCCAATCGGCCCCTAAGACGCCCCCAAGAGGCTTCAAGAGGCCCCCAGGTGGTCCGATAGTGAGCCCCCCAAAAGGCTCCAAGAGGCTCAAGAGACTTCAAGCGTGCCTCCAAGACGGCCCCGAGCTCTCCCCCCCAAAAGAGACTTACGACCTTCGACCTTGCCCCCAACAGCTCGCCGAGAAGCCTTCGGAAACACGGATGGCCCACCAAAGAGGCCCCCCCTTCCCTCCCCCCCTCATCCCCTCCCCCCCCATCCCCTCACCCCCTCCCTCCATCCCTCCATCCGTCCCATCCTTCCTCGACCCTTCTCTCCTTCCCTCTGCCCCCTTCCCCCTCTTTTGCGCTCCCATTCTTCTCTGGCTAGCCTCGGGATCACGAGGCTCGTGGCGTCGGTGCTGGCGCTCTGCGCCGTGCTTGATGACCCCCCGAAGGCGCCCCTCAGACGGCCCCCAAACCCACCCCCCCGGACTCGACGATCCCCGAAGACCCCCATAGACCGTTTAGTCGGGGGCGGACAGACCCCCCAACAGTGACACGTCGATTAGTGAATTGTCCGTTTTCGGTTCTCGAGAGGGTGCCGCGGCCGTTATCTTCCAGGCCTGCGCCCGCCAGGCTTGGGCCTCGGGGCGTTTTCACGAAACCACGTTTTACTAAAGGGGGACATGTCCATCCCCGAATTAGAGGCTCCTCAAGGCACCCGGCCCTCAAGATGTTCCAAGTAGCGCCCGACGAGGGCCCACTTTTTTTTTTTGTAAGAACGGTTTTTTGAAGGCAGATCTGCCTTCAAAAAGAACGGTTTTTGTAAGAACGGTTTTTTGAAGGCAGATCTGCCTTCAAAAAACCGTTCTTACAGAGTGCGTCCCAAGGCGGCCCTGGGCAACCGCAAGACGGCCGCCTGTGGAGCCCCAGACGGCCCAAGATGGCCCCAAGATGGCTCAAGAGCGCCAGGAGGTGATGTGCCAAGACGGCCTACTCTGTAAGAACGGTTTTTTGAAGGCAGACCTGCCTTCAAAAAATCTGTAAGAACGGTTTTTTGAAGGCAGATCTGCCTTCAAAAATCTGCCTTCAAAAAACTGGTCTACTCTGTGAGAACGGTGTTTTGAAGGCAGATCTGCCTTCAAAAAAACTGTAAGAACGGTTTTTTGAAGGCAGATCTGCCTTCAAAAAACTGGTCTACTCTGTGAGAACGGTGTTTTGAAGGCAGACCTGCCTTCAAAAAAACTGTAAGAACGGTTTTTTGAAGGCAGATCTGCCTTCAAAAAACTGGTCTACTCTGTGAGAACGGTTTTTTGAAGGCTGCCTTCAAAAAAACTGTAAGAACGGTTTTTTGAAGGCAGATCTGCCTTCAAAAAAACTGTACTCTGTAGAACGGTTTTTGAAGGCAGATCTGCCTTCAAAAAACTGTAAGAACGGTTTTTTGAAGGCAGATCTGCCTTCAAAAAAACTGGTCTACTCTGTGAGAACGGTGTTTTGATGGCAGACCTGCCTTCAAAAAAACTGTAAGAACGGTTTTTTGAAGGCAGATCTGCCTCAAAAAAACCGGTCTTACTCTGTGAGAACGGTTTTTGATGGCAGACCTGCC